GTATATATATATATTTTATTAAATAATAAATAAGAAATCTAGAACACTGTGTGTACGTGTGCTATTAATCTATATAATTCATATTTATACATAAATCTATAATCGTGCCAGTATATAGTGTATCTACAATTCATAAACCCATACATTTTCAAATATAATTTATAAATAAGCTCCTTTTCTCAGAAATTAGAATCCAAGATATCCAGTAAGAACGTTTTAAGCATATAATCAATCGTTTTAAGCATATAATATCTCAAGTAATATACAAATATTATTTTGTAAATAATAAAACAATAATAATTTATTTCTTAAATACAAAGATAAAATTAATTGAAAGATTTAAATTTAGATACATACATTTATAAATATAAAGTTCCAAAATTTAAGTTTTTAAAGTTTATAATTAATAAATATTTTTCAACAATTGTATTTTTCGACACAAAAAATTATAAAATAATATTTCTTAATTTTCTTGATTTCTTAAGTTCTTTTCTTAAGTTCATCCTTTTAATTATGCGTTATTTTCTGTAACATTAATTGTTATTTTCAAGTATGCACTTATCTTAAGTAGCATGCCATCAATTTTATCGTGCTGCTGATAAGAATTGACATGCTGTAATTTTTTATAATAAACGACATCTTTGAGAGAGCAGAACACAATTGCATCATTAATATCAGTCATATTATTAATACTAGAGATTATGATCTTTCAGGGTGGAAGATAATTAGAATTAAAGGGGAAAATCCAATTCTACATCTACAGCACTCACATATTTCCTACAAGAAAAAATAGAACTTCCATAGCTATGAGCAGAAGTAGTTTTATTTAGTTTAGATTAACACAACATCTGTAACCAGATTAGTCTAATCTGCTAAACGTCCTATGCTAATTGTAATAAAACTTGCTCATATTATCTCGCATCGTTCCTAATTATAATAATCAATCGGCAAAGACTGCAGAAATTATAACACAGTTTTAAACAAAACGTTTGCGTATTTACGTTATTTTTGCGGCATAAGACTTAATTGAATTAATCGATTCTTTCGCGTCCTCATACATCAACTTACCTGTGATGTTTTCGAAGTTTCTCATGATGGGAATTTTCGATCTCACCGCCGTCAGAAAGAGCGCGAGTTGCTTGCCTCGGAGATGCCGGAGGTGTGTGTGGCGAATGCGCCGTTAAATTTGTTTGGGGGCTCAGTGGTGCACCTGCATTGCCGGGTTGTATTCCCAGCATGCAGTAAGGATCGCTGAATCCTGAAAAATATGGCAATATTTTTCTAATGAAACAAATCTTGTAATAATATGATTCTTTACATGATTTGTTCAAATTATTCCGATAGTTTCTGATAATATTTTTGCATAAATAATTTTGCATAAATCTTGTATAAATCTTGTATAAATCTGGCATAAATTTTGTAACAACAAGGTAAAAGCATCTAATGCAGCATTTAAATTTTTTGCAAGATTAAACATCTTTGTGTAACTAAATTTAGCTGAGTTAAAATTTCGTTAAGCTAAAGTTTTAACTGCACTTTAAACTAATCGTGGAATATGATTCCCTTTTTATTTCCCTATTTATTTGCAGATGGAAAGTTTAGCTTTGCGAAAAATCATTATTTTCAATCGCTTGTAAGTCAAAAGGTAATCGCAGTTCGGAATATAGCGGAACTGATTGCACTTACCATTGACATCCTTTGCTTCGAGCCCATCGGCTTCGATTACCACTACGCTTAGCACAACAATAGGTGGCTGCAACAGTAAATACGTTCCATTTTATTTTACTGCTGTGCAAGTACTTCGGCGATATTCTTTAAAAAACGATAATATTACAATGCTTGGAAGCTTAATAATAAATCGGCATACCTTTTCTTCCGAAGCAATATTAAGATATCGTCGATGCTGATCCTGCGGGACTCCGAAGGCTTCTTGGGCGTATCGATACAGGTCTTCTTTATAATGAGCGTATTGTCCTGTACTGGCACCCACAGTGTTTGCAATTGTGTAAAGAACTTCTATATACAATTGTTCCATCTAGAAAATGTATCCCTTTCTTTCTAATATATCTTTATAATATTTGATAAATAATAATTTAATTTGTATATTATTATATAACATTTTTAAATTAGACAAGACTGACATATTTAAAATCATACAATTCTTATTTCCAACAATTTTGGCAAATTTTTCTAGAAAATATAGAATAATTATTATCTACATTGTCATATTATTTATTTTATATTTTATTTAAAAAATCATTGTACTACAAATATAACAATTAGATAATTAAATCATATTAATTTTAATTATGTAATTAAAAAATTATTTTATCTTTAGTAATATAAAAGATTAGAATTATATTGTTAAAATTGTTATTTTAGTAAAAGCAGCTTTAATGCTTAATAATTATTAGAAGTAATTTATTCAGTAAGATTATGAAGAATAATAGTCTTAAACAATATCAAAGTATTGTAAGTTCTTTCGAAAAAAATATATGAAAAACTCTATTAAAGAACGATTAAATTACAAGTAAAGATTTCTTTTGTTTAGTTGAACCAGTTGTATTTCCTCTGCTTTTTGTAGAAATTTAAAGCAATACGGTATTCATTGTACAAAGAAGACTGCAAACTCATTTTACAAAAGATAGAATATAAAATCAATCCGAGAGGTATTACGTTATTACATGGTTAATTTCTGTTTAATTCGAGAAAATACAAGAACACTTACTTTTAATTTTATTTTGTTAAAATAGTGTAACATTATCAAATCTACAAAAAGTTTAATAAATTAAATTATTAATAATTTTTTTTTTAAAACATTTCATTTAGTAATAAAAATACTAACCTTTATATTTTTAATTTATATTCATATTTTTATACTAATTTATATATTTTGAAAAGTAAAAGATTTACCTATGAGTGATTATTACAAAAAAAAAGATAACGCAATAATATCAAAGAAGTAGATTTTGTATTATTTTTAAATCGTTCTTTTTTATTATCATTTTCCGATGCCACGAAAAATATTGCTTTTTCCTCGTTCGTTAACAAAGAGACATCGACTTTTTGCCAATTATTCTCTCTTGAAATGTGCATAACAACTTTTACCCTGTCGAAGATGAGAAATAGAATAAGCATGAGAATTAAAAAGAATAAAAAGCGGGAGAAAATTTATTGTATAAGAAAAAAATGTAAGAGAAAAATATACTAAAATGATGAACAGAGCTTGACACAAGAACTTCGTTCAAAATTCGCAAGCTTTCGTGGAACCGCTATTTATTTAAAAGTGTTCCTCCACTTGGATATTTATTTTACGAGAGTCGAGAGCTTGCGAGACGACAGTGCGAAAAATTGTGTGGATATCTAGGGATTCATGCCAAGAGGAATCTACATAGAAAATAGCTAACATAAATTTATGATCCACGTAACATATTATAAATTCGAAAACCATAGATTTATCAATTTGTGTGATCTGTTACAATTATAAATGTGTATAAATATCTAGAATTTTAATTAAAATATATACTTTTCGGAGCTATCTTTATCCGGAGCGTAACGAAGGTATACATTTTTGTATAACTTTGAAGTTACTTTTATTAACGCGGAAAAATGTTCATATTTAATATTGCGTTTAATATTACGTCTCTATCTACATAAATTTAAATTAAAAATTATGTGTTTTTGCAAATTAAATCTAGTTTAAATAAAATATTTTTTATTAATTTCATTAGACAAGTAGTCGCGCGAATTAATAGATTTAAGGAAATACAGTGCAATTAAATTTGAAATCAAAGTTTTGAAACTTGAAATCGGATTGAATTGGAAATACGAGCTTTGTTCATTCGCGCATTACAGTTGGCAAATCGGAACGACGACGATTACTTTTATTACGGGTTTTCTACCTGTTAGTTCGATCAACGAACGAACATGCCCGTCTGACCCACGCGGCTCGACACTTTATCTACTTAGAATAATACTTCAAATAGACGAACAAACGTAACTACTCGTCTGCATGCAAAGTCCGTTGCAATCAGGATGACGTGTGTTAAATGTAACGGCGTTGTGCCGCACGCGATTCAGTCAAGGCGCGAAAATGTAGAAAACTTGCCGTTTCTTGTTTAATAATAATTAAAAATTTTGCTGTAATTTATAAAATAATAAACAGTTGTAAATAAAATATTTCAGTTTGTAAAAAAATAGGAAATGAGAACTGTCTAATAACCTGAAAAATCATGTAAAATTTTTATGACAGACAAAAGTTTTATATTATGTAGAAAATGAATAAAAGTTATTGTATGAAACAATATCTCTCACCTCTTTTTTACTAAAGCGATAAGGTTGCGGAGTCAAATTCGAGTCTCTGGACGGCGGTGGCGGTTCCTTGGCTCTTGCTTCCACTTCTTGAAGGACAACAAGCCTTCGGTTCTCCTGTTTCCAGGATAACGCAGTGAAACTTTCAAAGAAGGATCCATCTGTCTCTTGAACTCTGTAATTAAAAATTAATCAATAATTTCCTTTTGTGTGACATTTTGATATAACAACAAATTAGTATAATGATAAAATTATGTAATAAATATATAGTAAATTCTTAAATGTTAAATGTTACGTATAATACTATGTAATAAAATTATATATTTTAACTCAGTAATAAGGTATACGTGCTCCAAAATTTATTACTATTACAAAATATTTATATTTAATCAAGTACTTTGATTGTAGATAAATACGAATATTAATATTTATATTAAAAATAACAAATTAGTATTAGTAGACATTAATAAAATTAATTTTCCTTAAATCCTTGCACTCACATTCGTTGTATTTATCAAAAAACATAAATACATGTTTTAAACACATTTAATTTTGTTATTGATTGACATTAATTTACATATATATATATATATATATATATATATATATATATAAAGAAGTTTTTTAAACAGAGATCAGATTAAACTATTGATTTGTGCTCTTACATTATTGCATATATATATTTATGATAACTAAATGTAGTACACTTTATTCTTAAGTACTTTTATGTAAGCAGATTGAAAGAAATAAATCTTACAATATATCAATGCGCATTGTTCAATTTACATTCGTAAATTAAACAATGCGCATTGATTAAATATTACCGTATTTCGTGCACTAACTTATTAGCCCAGCGGTTTTTTCACCGTCGCGTGTGCACCCAGTTTCGCAATCTCGCGAAACTATCGATCGCTATCGATGCTCTCTCTGCGTTGGAATTTTAACATGACGTGTGCACTCGAGAGCAAAATAACAAGCAAACAAGCAGATTTTTCGAATAATAAATTCGATATTTCATATAACTATTTATTTTTATTCAATGTTTATATTGAATCATCTCGGTCCTCGTAAATAATTTTTATTCTAATTTACTAAATCTCTATGCATATAAGCAAAATTACGCAAAAATTGTTACTGTTAGATATTTTTTGTTACTTTTAGCATAATTTTGACTATTAGCAAGTCATGCTCCTAGCCTTAGCCAAGAAATATTTTCTTTTTTTATTAACGCGAGCTCGATTATTGGAATCAAGATGATTGAGCAGTCACGAAACACGACATTAAGAGAGAGAGGTTGTTAAGCAATGTGATGGCGCAAATCTATAATTGTTCCAAGATGATAGAAATCTTGGTTGCCTTGATAAGTATCGCAGGAACATTCTATGTACGGTCTCTCGAATTAAACTCGCGGCACGAAGTCAGCTATATTGTTGACTTCCTTGCATGTTGTCTTCTAAGCATATAGAGCAGAGACCAAACAGACTCTCTGCACAGATTTGTTAGTATTTGAGACAAACGTATGTAATACGATTGATTTAGCTTAGACATTTTAATCATGTACTCAACCAAGTTTTAAATATTAAATTTTAAACATTTTATAATTCGTAATTTAATAAATTTTTTCTCTTTACTTTTTTTTTGTTAATATTCCTTTTCTTTGTTACAAGAAAATATTTATATTAGATTTTATTTTTCAAGTTTCTATTGTATTGAGAGAATCTCAAATTAGAGATATCGTAATAAAAACTTTTTGCGAAACCTTTATTGCTATCTGTTGACAGAAAAATCGGTAATAAAAATGCTTCAAGCATAACGTACAGTTTATACATTTACATAATGCATAACATTGACGATGCTCCCTTTTACGGTTTGCATAATTCGTGAATCGATGTATTAATAACTCAAAAGACTTTAGTACTTTACATTTTAATGATGTCTTTATGATCAAAAAGTAGCAACGTTATAGACTCGGTTCTCTCGTTAATTTAATTTTTAATTAAGTAAGTGATTCTGCGGTGCATTTAAATGACTCGCTTCATGTTGCGGCTTAATTACGACATAAAAAAGCGTGCAATTTTATTTCCATTTCCGTAATTATTACAGTGAGATACATGTGAACAAGTATTACGTAACTGGCACATGCAAGTGAAATGTATTAATTCAATCTCTCTCATCAGTCCTACAGAAAATATTTTTCTCAGAAATTACACGTGCATATAATCTCAAACAAAAGTAAATGTATGCATAAACAAATACCTATTTGTTTTTGGACACACAAGGGACACATGTTTTTGGACACATGTAAGTAATTTCTTAAAAATTTTCTTATTAAGGTTAAAATTATTCCTCATATAATAAATATTTATCAGTTTTGTATTTTTTTCAACTA